GTTCACTTAACCAGTTCAATGGGACATTTGTCCAATTAAGGTATCAGGTGCCCATCAGGAGGAACACACCTGAGCTAGCCCTTTCAAGCCCAGGCGGCGCACTGAGCGAACAAAATGTTGATTATGCACTGGAGCGACATGAAAGGAATCAATTAAAAGCTTTGCGAACACAGGGCCTGATCACCTTTGCTGTGTCCACCTTGACAAGACCAGATGAGAAGATCAACTATAACATGGAGGCTCCTGGTAATTCAGATTGGAATTCCTATGGGGCATTTTACAATGCAGGATTACACCCCTTTAAACTCCAGGCTTGTTACATACTAGACTTATTATTTAGTAACTACAGCAACTTCAATACAAATACTTCAATGAGCTATTCTTAGGTTATAGAAGTGTGTGATAAAACATGTGACTGGCCATTCAAAGGGTTAAGCCCAAAGTGAAGAAGACTGTGCAATAGAAATGCCCCTTTGCTCCTTTTGGATAGGCTCGATTTTTGGCTATCTGACTTTTGGCTAGAGTTATCTGGCTTGCTAAGCAATCTTCGTGAAACATTTATCTTGGCAAAAAAATCCTGCTTACAGTACAAATCAAAGGAACCAAGCCTCATAGACTCTCCTCAGAATAACTGATACGGCCAAATATATGGCTCCAATTGACTTTTGGCTTAAGTTAGCTGGCTAACCGAGTAATCTTTGTGAAACACTAATCTTGGCCATAAATCCTGCTTACAGTACAAAACAGAGGAACCAAGGCTCATAAACTCTCCTCAGAATCACTGATATGGCCAAATATGTGGCTCCATTATTTTTTCAAAATACGTGATAGAAACCTCTGACAGCAGACAGATAAGTAAGCCACTGATTCTGATCAGCACAGCTTGGTCGGCCTCCTCCTCAGCCACATTTTCTGCTGAGATTAACACGCACTCTGCTCAGCAATCAATCACTTTGTGGCAAGGAAGGGCCAGTAAGTCTCTCTGTGTCAGTATGTGTGACAAGTGCCTGTGGAACACTTTCCACTGTGTGTCTTGATCCATAATATCTATATATTTTCTTATATGTATATTATACACATAATACACTGTCAACAGACCTAACATCATAGTGTTAAATTGCTGGCATTTTTATACTTCATATCCATTGCTAAGAGCTGCCAGCATCATCTTGTATGTCTCAGTGGACCTTCGATAGTGAGCACACATCAAGATTACTTTAATTAATCCCTTCAGTAGGTTTTTCTCACCTTAAAGTTTCTCTTGGTACCCCTTCCAGGTCAATCCCAATACAAAAACCCTGCCGTTACTGGCAGGACTATACCTGCGCCTGACTGTGTGCTCTACTAGGTCCCACGGAATAGCAGCCAGAACAGCAGGGAAGCTCTGCTGATAGAGAAGAGAAACAGAGTAGGAGTGTGTGGATTGAATGGGGAAGTGGTGTGTGCGAGTGTGTAGCTAAGAGAGAGGGGAACAGAGAGAGAGCGAGAGAGAGAGAGAGAGAGAGAGAGAGAGAGAGAGAGAGAAAGAGACAGAGAGAGAAAGTGTGTATATGGCCGGAGGAGTGGGGAGGGGTTTGCTCTTTGGGAAAGAAGCCAATCCAATTACAGGCAGCAGTGCAAGCCCAGTTTCTTCAGATGAGCTAAATTCACATTTCACCAGTCCCTTCCCTTCTCCGTCACTGCTTGGTCTGCTGCCCTATCTTCCCTTCTCTCTCGTGAGGGGAGGGATCCAGGGTGAAACATGCAGGCAGCTCAATCCTTCAAAGGAAAAGGCACCAACAGCTCAACCTCCTATATGATATTATGTCACCTCCAGTGTGGCAAATCCCATAAACCTATAGCCTTCTCTCACTACTTGAAAGTTACAGAAGGAAAAATAGCTTGGACAAGGCTTATCAGTGCAATGCCAAAGGATGCATGCAAGCCCTATTGAGCTTCCCAAGGCCTTTGTACCTGCCCCTCCATATATATATATATATATATATATATATATATATATATATATATATATATATATATATATATATACATACATACATACATACATACATATACATACACATATATACATATATGAACTAATGCTTCATTAGAATTGAAAATCGTGCAAGCTTGACATAGCTTTATGTGTTGTGGTAACAGGAAGTGGGGGTGCTGAGGGGACTACATCACCCCGAGATTTCGAGATAAAATAAGTGTAAAAAGCTTCTGCATAGCTGAGGTAATAAATACCTATGTGTGGAAATTAATATTTTTTAGGTTTTATTTACACATAAAAAACAAAATCTGCAGTAGCTATGCTCTGTGTAAGGTACTGCATTTTCGTTGCTCACTTTGGGACGTCTAAAAAACACAAGCATATTTAGGTGTTTTTCCACCTGTCCAGATATTTTCTTTTTTGGACCACAATTCAGCGTAAACATAACATTTTGAATACATTTGTTGTTTTTCCACCACTCCATCTCCTAAATGGAGTGCATTCAAATACTGGGCATGACACTGGCTACTGTGCCACGTATCAACAATCTGCTTGTCGACGCTCATCTGATTTGCATAAAATTCATCCAGAAAGAGACAGAGCAGAGTGAACAGAACTGCATTGGCAGTTTGGTGTGTCAGCTATATGTGTGCTTTGTTGTTTAGCCACATTGTAGCACATTATAATATGTTCAGGTATGATGTGAGTGTGTACACTATGTATATTCTGTTTAAAATTAACTTAAAACATCTTGTTTTTGCAGACATTGGCATTTTATGGTATTATCATGGACATAATACGTATTATATTTGAGTGACGCTAAAACAAAACTTAATATCTTATTAATAACAATATTTGATTAAAAATATGTATGCTAGCAGTCTCAATCTCTCATTCCCTATTCCTATTGGCCAGATGTGTGTGACTTCTCCTAGGGCTTGGGACAGCATATGAGGTTTCCTGTCTTCTTACAACATATATAAGCAAAGTCCTTCTCCCTGGTTTCTGTGATGACAGGAAGGTGTGCATGTTTGCTCGGCCTAGTCTGCTTGCTATTTCTCCACAGCTGCCGAGATATGCCTTGCTGGATTACACTGAACGAAAAGCTCTGATGCCACTTCCTGATTGCACTGCCGTTTCAATTAGAGATTAATTAATCACGGGAGCCGAAAATAAGCTCTTGTGGGCGTTGCCATGTTGCCAGCATGGCATAATCATGCAGATTCAACAACACAGGTACAGTCTGTTTTCCCTGTCTCGGTTCCTGTTCACCCAACTCCTCTTCACCCAGTCTATGTAATGCCAAGTGAAGTACACCTGAGGTCCTTTTAACTTCTAAGTTCTTCACATTCACACAAACGGTTCTTTAGAAAAAAAAAAAACAATGAATTGGAAACCGGAGAGGTTCTACTATGACAGGGGTGCTCAATCTTGGTCCTGGAGATTTACCACCAGAGAGTTCAGGTCCAAAACACTTGGCTCTAAAATTCAGATGCCCCTGAAGATTTTCATTACCTGTATCAGGTGTGTGAGATTACAGTTTGAGCTAAATTCTGCAGGGTGGTACATCGCCAGGACCTGGATTGGGCACCCCTGGTTTATGGCATTGCTGCAAAAAATGATTTTTGCCACCTTTACATTTAGGAGTGTAGCCTCTTTGTCATGGGGAGGTAGTGGTAGCTAAGACTTTTGCCAATAAAGACAAAGTAAGTCTCTTGCTAGCTCTCTTTCTTCTCCCATCTTTTCCCTTTGGTTTTTCTTACAGCCGTTGTTGGTGGGAAAATGCCTGCTGTCACTCAATGCTATGGCGGTCCGAGTAGAGCAAAGAAGTCTAAAGTAGTGGACAGACCCTTATTCATCCTTAAATAGGTGTCACGGGTACTGCCCTGGGGCTTGCTGGAGCATAGCATCTCCATTAGCTACATGATATCTGCCTTTACATCTGTTGGTAATGCAGCAAAGATTAGCCAACAGTTCTGGAAATGGGAAAATATGGCAAAGATAAAGTCTCACACAGATATATATTCTCTTGTTTGACTACTGTATATTGCTAGCTTTAACTAAGAGCATGCATAGCTGAGGTAAAACCAGTCTCTGTAATAGCCCTCTAGTTGAAGTGTTTCATACTTTTAGTCAGCGTACTTACTCACAATAAGTCCCCTCAAAGCACACTGATAACTAGCTTGCCACTGTTGGCAAAATAGCTCAAACAATTCCTATCCTCAAAGCATTTTATACAAAATCTAAAAGCATGGTGATTTCAACACAGCACCCTGCACCGCAGAATGGCGTAACCAGCCTCTCTAGCTGATAACATCATTACCAACAGCAGTTGCACCTGAATAGAGCTCCACTTGCTAAATGTTCAAGGCTTCTTTTCAGTCAGTCTATAATTGCTATCAGAAAGGTGCTCTTAACTCCACATTTTCTGAGCACCCTTCATGTGAAATGTGTCATAATTACTAAGTACTGATAACTTACAGGAACCCAACAGGGTCAGGCCATTTGTGGCAGACTGTAGGGGAGCCAGGCCCAGCCTGTAGCTAGCCCCCTCTGCCAAAGCCTGGCTGGCAAGGTGCTTATTAAAGTTAATTGGTCAGTGAAGGTTAGCAAGTACTGGTAATCGAGAGCTTTTGCATTCTGCTCAAAGCTGAAGCAGGGCCAGGTGAGCTCTAAAGGACAACATCAAGAATTCAGGAGAAAAGTTTCTGCATCTGCACTTTTTAAATGTTAGACGGGGCCAGTCGAAGTCAGTGCCGAGCTAAAGGGGCCAACTTAATATCATGCTTGACCTTGAGAAAAAAATATAGAAGAATTTATGAGATTTCTTTGCTATAGGAAAACCTCCGAACGCCGAGGCTAAAAACCTTGAGCATTATATGGACCAAACTTCTGCTGGAAAAAAAATTGAACTTGAAAACTTTTTAAAGGACAAAACAAATGGGTCAGTTCTTGTGTAAGCCATGGCAGGTAGAGATTTTCAAGGTAGCACATTGTAATATAAAACCGTAATTGAGCTCACCTTTTTCAGTCGTCCACTCTTGGTACCCACAAAGGCCACACAGAAGCCGTTGTAGACATAAGAGGTCACTGAGGTCATGCGGTCTCTGCTCTCTGTATATAGCGTGTGTCCGGTCACCAGCTGAGAGCCGCCCAGGGGTTGGTTGATGTCCAGGCCGCAGAAAGAGTCATCAATGGGTACTGGCTGTAAACAAAAGGAGATGTAAGTTAATCACGATGCCAAAACTTTTGAGAAACCTAAAGGTAAGATTTAAGATTAGCCTTTTGTAACAGTGTTTTGCTGCAGTGTTTAAATGTAGTTATGTAATTACATAGTCAATTACACATGAAATTACTTTTGCTTTATATTCTGCATTGACAAGTTCAGGTTTTTTTAGTTTGTTTCAAGGTAAGAAATCACAGAAATGAGGCAAAAATGTAAAGCATGTCCACAAAACAAGGTAATGTGCACAATAATGAGTTCAAATCATAAAAATCTACCACAAAAACATATATGTGGTACTGAGTAATTAGATTCCATACTTCTATACCATAAAGAATTTCTCCCCTTGTTTCAATGAGCTACGAGTGAAAATTGATTATCGAATTACACCATGCTTTGACTTCTGAGGGTTACGTTGACAGCTAGAGTGAGATGCATTTGCTGAGGTAAACTGCAAGAAGACAGTAAGCAAGCCTCCTTCAGCATGTCCGTGCTGTGCCATGTAGTCAGCCCGCCTCATTACCCTGCACTATGACAGTACCTCACCCCCACGAGAGACAGAAGTAGTCTGTACTACACATGTAAATATGCCTAGGTGCATACACATATGCACAGAACACTTGCTACAGCTTAGGCCACATTCACTAGCACATTTTGATATCCGTCAGACACGTACATCCAATGAGAACAATGCCCTGACTGGCACAAGATACCAGCGGGCAGCAAGGCACTTCGATTATACTCTGTAGTCCTTTAAAAGTGTTATTAGAACAGTCTTAAATACTCTTAAGTGTAAAATACTCTTAAGTAACTATGAATTAGCCAGTAGAAAAAGGGCAGGGCTTCAGTCAGTGAAATCAATGTTAGGCAAGATTGAGATAAAAGTAGTAGCTGCATAGCTCACATTCTGAACTGTACAAATCACACATTTTATTTATTTTTTTCTGTAAAGAACATTAACAACTGGCAGAAGTTTTTTTCCAGAAGTGGGTTTTTTAACAAGCGTTTGTGTTTAAATGAGTTGCCCGCTCCCATAATTGCTGGCAATGTAGACAAACACATTGATCTCAACATCTCACATATCAATGTATTTTATTCTTTGACCAAAAGTCAAAATCACAAATGATAATGACCATGATTATGCATTTTTGATTTATTGCAAAACAACCAAGAAAAGGCAGGTCTTCTAAACTGTGAAATGTTTCAAATTGTGGATTAACTGTGGTCTTTAACTGTGACACAGCATACATTTGAAGTACTGAGTCCTACTACAGGAGTTCTACCTTCCTGCATTCCATGCCAGCCCAAACTAAACCCTGGAAACAAAATCTCCAGGAGCATCTCAACAGAAGAGTCAGCTCAACAGAAGGTATGTTAGATTAGGCTTGGATTTGTATACTACAGCCTCAAGCATTTTCTTCGTAATTGACTTGGCAAGCCATCAGAATATTCAGCTAGCTAGTTATCAGGCAGATTGTGAACCCGAAATACAGGTGAATCCAATTTAGCAAGCTACTGAATGTTCTTATAAGAGAACACTCTTGTCTGCTCATGCTTCATTTTACTTGGCAGCAACAATTTTCGTGTGCTTTTTCACTTTCTTCATTACTAGGAACACCACAAATATGAAATCCCACTTCATCTTTTCTTCAAATGTTTACTATTTTACATAAATGAATAATAAATGCAAGGTAAATAATAAGTGAAAACTGTAATTTCGGCTCAGATATTCCAGCCTTTGGGTAAAGGAATAATCATCTGGCTGACAACTTAGTGCCAACGTGAACTGGATTGTTTAGATAGTAATAGTTTCTTTTGTTCTTTGATTCAATCATAACTAGGAACGGGTATTGAAATTCAATACTTTTATGGTACTGATGGAATTACTTCAGTACTACTGAGTATAGCATGGCAAAATGGCAAAAATGTAATATCACGCTAACTTTACAATAGATGATATCACAATATGTATTTTTTCTCACATCTGATAAGTTGAAAAAGACAAAGTAGTGCCACATTTAAAAAATACTATCAATAAGTAAGTCCAATGATTTGTATTCAATATTTCAAAACTGTGCTGTACTAAATTAATTTAAAGAAGGTGAATTATTCTGTCTTTATAATTAAACATAATGAGAATATCCATAATATGCCCATGCATACTCTGACATAATGTGATGTAATTTATCCCAGTAACAATAAATATCATAATTTTGCCCAGCCTTACTACCAAGTATTAAATTTCATATCGCATACTGAATATCAATACCAAATTTCATTACTTAAGTAATGTCATTGTTAGCATTGATGAATCAGAAGGCATTCTTGTTCCAAAATCTGGCAGGCTGTTGACCGGCTGTCTAAATTAATTTTATGTATATGTTTCTAATTTGTTCAGTAAATATACCCAGATCTCATGTTTATTTCTGGTTTATGCCACACACACTTTCAGTCTGCAAATTTAAAACAAGATTAAAAAGTCAAGGTATCAGTACTCGCATTAATACTGAGACATTTTGAGCAATACCCAGTCCTACCAACAACACACACATAAGGAAAAAGATGCAGGCCTGTAAACATGTACAGCGTAATGATCAGGCTCTAGAGCCATTTTTAATGTCAAACGGAGACATGGCCTGCCATCAGCAGCAAGTCTGATGCTTCTGAGCCCAGTGGAGCGGTCAGCTCGATTCACGTCAGCCCAGGCAGCCGGTGACTGGCAGTGGCCTCAAAGTGCCATGGAGAGTAAGAGGGACGAGCGCGCTGATGTAAGCACACTGCTCATCATCCAAAGCCCAGCAGCCTTAGCAGCCATTAGCATTTAGCACTGCCTCTCTGAGGCTAGCACTGGAAAGCTTTATTACCACCTGGCCAGTTATACGAGCCCAGGGGAAAGCAATAATGTCACATGGTGTAAAACACTCAGGCCACCACGGTTCCTTTTTATTTTCCTTTCCCAAAATAGCAGGAGTGAGTCTCTCAGGTGGAAACGATACCTGTGAGAATTGTGTTTCTGATTGTTTACATCTTCAAAAACAGAGCCAGAGCAGGCCTCAAATCATTTAGGAGGGTGTCTGCATAACATACTTTTGGAGCTGTGAGTGAGATCAGACAGATGTGTGTGTGTGTGCGTGTGCTAATTTGAAGGTATTCTGTGAGACTTCACTCTGTAACTGATACCAGTGCATAACAAGCCATGAAATACTGTCTGGGTGCAATGTTGCAGGTGCAGCTGCTCGCCCCAGTCTGTGAATGTAATGTGCCCCAGAGTTCTCAACCTAAATAATGAATCCCCCCAAAACAAGACATTTAGGGTGAGCAAATAAAATTAAATACCAGCACTGTTCTTTGTTTATATGATTCAATGGCGAAGCATTTTGAGAGAAAGTTAACGATGGACGGAAAGGCTAGGCTAGCACTGTGAACATAGAAAGATTTTCACTTAGTAACAGAATGACAGTTAAATAAAAAATTCAAACTAAATGAATTATGAAAATAAATACTTTGTCCTTTTTACCCAAAAAATAGTTGACTGGGCAAGACATGTTTGGTATCCAAAGTTTGAGACTAATGTAGAAAGTAATATCATGCAAACTGCATGCCTGAACATCACACTTGCCCCAAACCATGTCAAGTTGTTACATAAGTTGTCAAGCAGGTTTTGAATACTTCTTGGTATTTGCAAGCAAGTCCTCTAATAGTTCTTAAATTCATCGGGCCTCAATACACAAATATCTTCCTAAGTTTCTTCTTAAATGTGTTCTTGAGAAAGGTCCTAAGAAAAAGTCTATGTCAGATTCATGACATGTTCTTAAACCACAGAACTGTTTGTACCTTTGTGCTCTTGAGTGTGTGTAGATTCTGTTCTCACCTAAGAACAAATCCCAAATCAGAAAACACTGGTCAATGTCAGCATTTTTGTGGAAACTGCATAAATGATTTTAAGAAAAAAATTCCTCTTAAATTGAATTCACAACTACATTATTTTAATCATTCTCTTGGTGGCTGTTTTTTTAAGTATCTAAACACCTCCAAACAACATCGAGTCAAGCCAAAGCACAGCCTCCACATGGCAGGGTTAGTTTTAACATGCTGTTACAACTAAGCCTCCCTTGAGAAACAATAAGACAAGTCACTTATATGAATTTAAAACAAAAGAGGTAATTTTTTTACATTGTTATGAACAGGTTCATTAAAAACATCCCACAGATGTCAGGTAAATAAAATATATTTAAATTTTATATTGATATTTGCTATTCTACTTTGTGATCAAAAATAAATTTGCCATTTTTGACAATAATTTTTCATTAATCACATTTATTTTGAGGAATATATATTATGTATTTAGGTTGGACATGCCAGGTTCAAACGACACTGAACTGTACTGAATTTAATTTGTTTTGCATCAATTAACTAAGCCACTAGTACCCCTAGCCCCTAGTCCCCCCTGTGGGATTAGTTATGATGTTTGGACTCTCCTGACAGCTGAATTGTTCACAACCTGCAGACGGTGGAAACAAAGCTTACATTTCAGTTGCAGCACAAATGTGTAGGTTGCTTGTATAAAAAAAATATTGATCTTGCTCAAATATTTTTTTTTAATTATTAAGCAAAAAACAAGCGTGCCCCGCTCTCACCCAGGCAACAATGTTTTAATAGTGTATACCAGTAATGATCTGAAATTTCCACTAAAAATGAACTGAAATCAGTCATGGTGTAAAGCATATATTTTGCACTGGCCATTTTTTCTTATTGTCCAATATTTTAAAGAGCTTTCACACATGTAATTTCTTAAGCATCCTTGCTCTGTTATCTTCAACAGCCACATGGAAAGCAGTGCAATTTGTTGTGCTCTTAGGGGAGGTGACGTGGATGCCTGGCATGACTTTAAGATGTATTCAGCGAAACTAGCTCTAAATTATTTATTTTATTGCAATTTTGAATCCTAAGAAAAACAAAGCTTTCAGATACTAAATTAAGAA